AACAAAATAATTACAATCCGTGGATAGATGGCCTTTCAGATTTGTGTATCCTTTTTAATGTTCGGGCAGCAACAAATCAGGAGGTATTTCACACATGGCTGTTTTTGTTGTTGAAATGAAAAATCTTCTGTCTCCCTATTAATTTATGGCTGTTATCCCTGTTAAGGAAATAAAGCCTGGTGAACAAGAGAATGAAAGCAAGCACAGTTTATCACTTTTCTTCTGCTCAGGTGACATTTTGACATGCTATAACCACCTTCACTAATTGTCAGATAATTAGACTTACCTGTAGCATAGGAAAGAGACAGGAGTTTGGAATTTGAAACTTTTCTTGCTTTAAGAGAAACATAGCCCTGTGACCTTCAGCAAACAACTCAGTTGTTCCAAACTTCAGTTTCCTTATCTGTAAAAGAAGATAAGATCTACCTAAGAAATATGTTTTTGAAAGATCAGATACATTGTAAGTACTGTGTTTCACTGGGGAAAGGCCTGGGATTTGAACCCCATAAGAAAGCCCCACTACAAGCCCTAGATTGGGTCTTCCACAGTTTAACTCTTCTTGACTCTTCTGCCCTTCCTCCTGTCTCTTGCCAGGGGCTCTATGAAACCATTTTTAGGATTTGAATCATTTCTTTTTTTTTCACACTAAAATTATGGCCCACATGAGATTTTACTGCTTGACACAGAAGATCCTGCACATCCAAATAGCGACCTGATGCAGTCACAGCTGGCACAAAGGTTCCGTGGTAGCTGTCTTTGGAGCCATTTGGCAGCTTGGGCTGAAGTTGCTGGATAAGTTATGTCAGGACAAATAACCCTACCTGTGAGTACTCCAGAAAGAGTGACGAGTGTCCTGGCAAGTGCTGTCTTGAGGTGGGGTCTGCCCTTTCTACAAGCCTTCCTTTTAGCCCTCAGACTTCTGACCATTCTTGCAGGTCTTTCCACTGGACAGCATCTCAACACACCCACCACTCAGCTTTCTGTTTCTCTGGATGCTTACTGCTTTTATGATCAGCTGAGTGCACTTAGTTGGGTTCCATGGTCTAGTTTCTAGGCTTTTCATGCTGGAGTCCCGCAGACCCAGCCAGAATCTCCACCATGCTGTCCTGGTTTCTCCTTACAAGATTTCACACAGGACCAGTTGCCTGCAAAGTTCACAAGAAACTTCTGTTCATTCATCAGTTGATTCTTGTTAAGGCTCGAGATGGGCCTGGATGTTCTTAATAGAAGCAAGTGAGTGGGTGCAGATCAGACTTTCAGCAGATTTATATGCAGAACATCTTTTCATTTAACTTATTTTCACAGTTCTGGAGAAGTTGGAAAAAATTTTTTTGGAAAACTCCCATTTCCCGCCCCCCCGGAATAATGACTTTAAAAAAAAAAAAAAACAACTATTAAACAGTAAATAATGTGATGTAGTCTTGATATTTATACTTCAGGCAAAGATGCAGTCAACAGTTTCCCTGATAACTGTGGTTTCAATTTCAAGAATAGCAAACAAAACAATTTGGAGTTGCCGTTCAGTGTGGGTGGAAGTTTTGCTTTGTGTCTATGCACCATGTGGTTGAAGTGCAGAGGTAGTATCTTTTACTTCTCACCAGGGGTCAGTAAACTTTTTCTGTAAAGGGCCAGACAAGAAATATCCTAACCTTTGCAGGCCAAAATATCTGTGGTGCAAAACTAAACTTTGCCCTTGTAGCATGATGGAAATCATTGACGATCTGCAAATTGAGCAGACATAATTTTTCCCAAGGAAACTTTATTTACAAATGGGTGTAGTGGTGCACATTTCTAATCCCAGTACTCTGGGAAGTTAAGGCAGGAAGACTGAAAGTTTGAGTCCAGCCCAGGCAGCTTAGGTATATGCTATCTCAAAATTAATTTTAAAAAAAGGAGTGGGGATATAGCCCAGCATTGTAAAGGCCTTGGGTTCATCTCCGGTACTGAAAAGCAAAGACAAAAGAGAAATAAAAACAACATAAAGCTATTTACAAAAGCTGCGCATGGCATGGAGGTGCATGCTGGTAATCTCGGCTACTCATGAAGCAGAAGAGAGGATTATGAGTTCAAGACCCTGTCTCACAACGAAACAAAACAAAACAAACCCCACAATATGCTTTATTTATAACAGCAGACGGTGGGCCACATTTGGCCCACACTTGTGTCCTCTTTTGCAGTTGTCTCTTGTAGTCTTTTGTGAGCCCTCATTTTTCTGTGCCTTGAAATTATTTTGCCCTAAAGGTTTTTTTTTCCTGTGCTTATTTTTAAGTGCATTTTATTTTGAGTGCAAGATAATCACCATTTCCCAAAAGGGTGAAGAATTAATGCAGGAAATGGCACCGAATGAAAAATGCACATTATTAGAATGATATATCCGCACCCTTCCCTCTAGCAATCCTTCCCATTCTCGTCTTCATTTCTCTGGTGAGCAAAAGAAATCTTCATTACATGGTATAAATGAACTAGTTATTTTTAACACCCTGAAAATATTTATTCTAGGGATTCGTTTTCATTGTTCAAGCAATATCTTTTTCTATGCATATCTTAGTTTGGAATGGAATGCATCAGAGTTTTCCTATTATAATTATTGGAAGTCTCTTTTGGTTTAATAGCTTTCTGCTCTGCAGTGGAATGCTCAGGAACGAATTTCTGCCTGTCAGTGATGGTTAGGTAGAACTAATTCAAGGAAAGCCCCAAGCTGCCTTTTTTCCTAGGGTGGGGGGCAGTCCAAGGCAGGTGAGGGTTACTGTAACTGGCGACCCACTCCATGTTGGTTACGACCCCGAACAGTGTGTGAGGAGATTAGGAGAAGGAAATAGGGAAGGAGTGGGCCCTCACATTGTGTTTTGGTAGCTGCCTCACATTGTGTTTTGGTAGCTGTCCCCACCCCTGTGCACAGGAAGCTTTCTCAAGCTGCGAACATACATTGTAGGGCAGTGATCCCATCTCCCCATCTCTTGGTGTCTAGTTTTCCCACGCCACCTGAGGCCATTCCTTGGTCTCAGTGTCCTCGTTTGCAAAACAGTTAAAAATGCGTTTGATACCAAGTATTTACGTTTAGCACGAAGGTAAAAATAAAACATCATGCCTGTGTGGAGTTGTCATCAGTTGAGATTTGTGACTCCACAGGCAGTGGTGTCTTGTTCTGTCATATGTTTATTTTATTTTTTGTTTTTTTGACACTTGCTATGCAGTTCAGGCTGGCCTTGAACTCACTGTGTAGCTCAGGTTGGTCTTAAACTTACAGCAGTGCTCCTCCTGCCTCAGCCTCCTGGGTGCTGGATTCCAGGCATGCACCACCACACCCAGCATACACTGGTGTCTGAGCTTTTAAGCTGCTTTTCTTTAAAATAACTTTCTAGACATGGTCTTGCTGTGTAGTCTAGGCTGGCCTTGAGTCACTATGGAGCCGAGGCTCCCCTCAGACTGATGGCAAGTCCTCCTGCCTCAGCCCCCCAAGGGCTAGCATTGCAGACATGCAGCTATGCTGGGCTGCTTTCTAAACAGCTTTTCAAAAGCAACTGGTTAGGGCTTATTTGGGTGATTTCATTACTCGTATTTCCTTGTTCACTGTAATGTGCAAGAAACTGTTGTTGTGGCTATGGCACTGAATGTGACAGATATGGTCCTTGATGTCCTGGAGCTCACAGTCCAAGATGTGTTGCTGGGTCAAGGTTGAACACTCCTGGGGCAATCCCATGCTAGGGGTGAAAGCACTTCTAGGATGTGTCACTGAATAACAGCAATAAAACAGCAACTGTCAGTGAGCACAGAAGAGCTACAATGTAATATGATGTCATAATTTAACAGAGGATGGGCTGGCCAAGTAGTTCAGTGGATTCAAGTGCCTGCAAGCAGGCACAAGGGCCTAGGGTTCGATCCCCAGGCCTGCCATGCTGGTCCCGCCCCTAGGGCTCGCTGAGATGTCAATTGAGACTGGGCGTGGTGGCATGCACCTGTAATCCCAGCTCTTGGGAGGCTGTAAACAGAAGGATCACTATGAGTCCAATCCAGTAGTGAGACCCTGAACACTGTAGACCTTTTCCTAAAATACAGAAAAAAATAAAAACAAAAATTAATATAGCAGAGCCTTATGCTTTTTTGACTGGGATAACATGAAATAAGCAGAAAGTAGGGTGGAATATGTTGTGGAAGAATCCAGCAAAATTGGGAGATGCTCATGCTATGGGCTTCAGGATGACCACTGCCTGCTAGAAAGGATACGTGGTCACGTGACCCTGAGTTCCTCAGCACCTGCCAAGCGCTGGTGCGACTCCCCCAGCCATGGGCAGAGTTCCTGCTTCTGCTTTGTAGAAGCACCTGTACCCTCTCCCCGTACTCCCACAACCTTGTGACTTTCAGAAACACAGGACCAAGGAGGGAGCAATTGTGAATTCATGGTATCTAGATCATGAAATAAAATCTTGGTCGTTCAGTAGTCTTGGAGTGCTAGTTGCCCTTCCTCACAAAGAAAATAGATTTTCATAACCAAAATTGTTATAATCAAATAAATCAAAGGTCCAGTCATTCATCAGTCCCCTCCATGAAACTAAATACCTTTGAATTCATGCTGGGGCATCTGCTGAAATAGCCACTTTACAGAGATGCAAAAACCTACTATCTGGTGGGTCCCTCAGGGGAACCAGAGGACAAAATACCCGGGTGCCATTTTCATCAAAGCATGCAGGGCAGAAGGCTTTGCCATCTCCTTTGTGGTCGCTAATAAGCTTAATTCATATACTTGACTGTCTTTTGTACAATTCTTAGCACCGCAAAGAGGAAGTGCTTGTTCTTCCTTTAAAAAGTTCAATCCAAACCATCAGCCTCTGTAGGTTGTCTTAATTGCTACTTTGCACTGCACTGGCCTGTGACTCTGATTTTTGGCACATGCTATCATACACAAAGTTCCTAAAATAAAATGCTCCAGGATATCCTAGGAGCTGTTAGAAGGCTTTAAAAAGGGACTCACACACTGCAAGAATATGATGAGGACAATTCAGGCAGGCAGCATGCTTATTGCAGCAGAATTACATAATTAACTGAGATCTTGAAGTGGGTTGGGGGAGTCCTTGCCACCTAACTTATCATGGTTGGGGGGAGGCTGGTGAGAATTCAGTTTTGATAAAGACAATTGTTTTCTCCTCCCCAAGTGACTATACATTTAAATAGCTAAAACATCTGTTCAGCAACATAGTAAAACATGTATGCTCGGAACGCTTGAGAGAAGAGCCTGCCAAACGATCGCTTGAGAGGGACTTTGCTGAAGGAGAGCACCAAGATAAAGCAACCGCTGTTTGTTTTGTCTAGTCAGGGGAAAAGCCAAGGCAACCAGTATTTTGAATTTCTTTTATTTCATTTGTAAAGGATTATTTGAGAAAGGGTGGTGAGGGAGGTTTCCTGACAGGAAATTTCTTAAGCTGTCCACTGGTAGAAGAGCAAGAGAGCCTTGGATGTCAACACCTACCAAACTCTTGGGACCATCTAGCAAAGCAGGAAAAGTGACTTTCTTCCCGAGCGCTCTCTCCAGCCCTTCTGATGGAAGCAGAATCGGGCAGCAGCATGGAGACTGGAAAGGGGACCAACAGAGGCACTCGAATTGCCCTGGCTGTGTTCATTGGTGGCACCCTGGTGCTGGGCACAATCCTCTTTCTAGGTAAGTTGAGCCCTGGAGACAGGGGACCAGATGTGCTTAGATACTGCCTAGTGCTTTACTCCAGCAAAGCTTGTCCTGATGCAGGTGTACATATGGCTGTTTACTTGTGTTTGTAGGTAGTGCGTCTTCAGTTTCTGTCACATATGTAAATGAGAAAAAGCAGCTTTTCTTTACTACCAAATGTATAGTCCAGATGGCAGCGTAGGTATGAAGAAGTGCTGAGTGGCTCCCAGATCAAGTTGTACTGAGTAGAACAATTTCATGTATTACATTTTACAAATTGAGTGCTTGTGAATTCGTAGGGAGAAACTTCATTTGTTTGGTGAGGAAAGACTTTACATTGTGATCAAAACCACGCCAAAATTCCTTTTCGTTCGGCTTTCACTGATGTTTGCCTGAGTGAACCACCACATTTAATTCACAAAGTACAAATCTGTCCTTTAAAATGCACTTTCAATTGTTTTCTTCAAGTACTTCCTAATCCAGTGACTCTGATGGGATGCAATGCTAACTCTGCCTTCCTAATAGATTTAAAATTTAATATGGAGAAAACCAGAGGTTTTTCTCCAGAGATTTGAAAGGTATTATGATTCAATTATTTTAATGACTCACAGTGAGAACAATGTGCCCGGAGAATCTATGTGATGAAAAAAGTGTATTCCTAGGAAAAATAATCAAGTGTCTTGAAAGGGGGTGAAGGATGATCTTACATTTTCAGCTTTCGGAACCCTTGGCTATTAGCCGTTTTCTCACACAGCCCATAGTATTTCATCAGTTTGAAAGTTACTTAAGAACAAGCCTTTTGCTTAGCAGATTGTAGGTGCACTTTGAGATGCAGCAGGCCTGGAAAAATTCCTTGGCATATGCAGGATGGAGGAGACCATGTTTATTTTGGCAGGGACAAACCAGTAATTAAACTTTAAAAAAGTTAGGGTTGTGTGGTTGAGCCCTCTGCTAAAATGAGCAGACCATCTTTCCATGTTTTATGTGGCTGAAGATTTAGGAAATTAGATGCGTTTATTGCTTGCTGGTGAAGCTAAACCTCCGGCTCCTGCACCTGAATTTGTGGCCCTTGAAAACTGTTGGGAAATTTTATTTTCAAAGCTTGGGCTCTGGAGGCATGCTCCCTCCTGGAATTCAAGAGTGGAGGAGCAATTCTACAGGCATGCCAAGGGACTACATACTACGTGGGAAGTGACTACAAGGTTAGGTCTTGCAAACACTTCCAGACTTAAAAGCCCAAATGATTATCATGCATGTAAAAGTATGCACTCTTTTAAATGATGTTACCTCTGCTTGAAGCTTTCCCCAAATTTTATATTTATGATCATTACATTCCGAGGTTGTGGAATATTCGCTGAAAGATTCTCCATGGCAGTAAACCTTTATTCTCTGAGAGAAAATCATTCTTTGGCAATAATGCCCAACTCTTTATTTGCTGGGCAAGTCCTCTACCACTTGATCTACATCTCATCCTTCTATTACAGTTTTCTGGGCATTGCCTCACGAGAGCACCTCCATTTGGAAGCACTAGACATGTAAAAACCCTTAATTTTGGCCAAAATTTTCAGTACTACTTCCTACTAATCACCTTCCCTACCCTCTCTTCATCGCCTGTCCCTCAGGCCCTGTTACCCACCTGGACTCGGCAGCTAGCAATGGGCTTGTCTGAAAATCTATCTCTAGGGATGTGCCAGGCAATACATTTCAGGACAGTGTTCTAGTGGAGGTCATCTATTCAAGGTGCTTTCTGGTTCATTTATGCAGCTCATTTTTCTGTCTAAGTTCAAGCATAGTCTGCAATTTCTAGCATCCTTCTCTATCTCTTCTTTGTCTCGGAAGCACTGGGATCATTTCTCTTCTGAACCTAAGTGGCTCCATAGTATGAATGATTGCCAGCGACTTGGGAGTGGGTTCAAAGAACATAGAACACTGGAATTGAAGAGGTCAGATATGACTCTATGCCTATAACTAGTTTATTTGCAAGTGTCCTTTTGTCCCCTGTCTCTTCTCCTCTTTCTCACAATTTGTTTCTCAGATGTTGTGTTCAGTAGACTATTTCTGACAAGATCAGGAAGGAAATACTCTGGACTCTGTGGTGGGCAATATGGTCTCAAGAGCAGCCATAGGCAACATGTACACAAATGTGCATGGCTGGGGGCCACAGGATTTGATTTCTGAACATTGACATTAGAATTTTATGTATTTTTTAGGTACTAAAAATGTCAAGGCAAGACTGTTCACAGAAGCAAACAATGGATTGATCTGGCCTGTGACACCTTCTGTCAGGCCATTCTCATACTCTTTTCTTTTATTATTAGTATTTTTTGTCTTTTTGAGACAGGGTCTCACTTATGTAATTCAGGCTGGCCTTAAGCTCACTTTGTAGCCCAGGCTGCTCTTGAACTCGCAGCGATCCTCCTACTTCAGTCTCCCTAGTGCTGGGATTACAGGTGTGGGCCACCATACCAGCCATTCTCATACTCTAGATCTTGATGTATTCTGAGGGCATTTGTACTTATTATAGAAAAATAAAAGGGAAATTCAAACTATTAAATTTTTAAGAGCTCCTAATCAATAAAAGTAACACTTAAAATTTTTATATTAATGTATTTTTATTGTTTCTGTTTCACTTATTTATACCTTCACCTTACTGGGACTTACTGATCCTTACTTAGTTTCATGATTTTACAGTACCTCCCACTCATGGATATAATGTTCTTCCTTGAGGAATCAAATTCGCCTTTGTCCCAGTTAATTAAATTAAAAATCATCATTCTGGTACTTGTCAGATAAAGGTAACTGATTTTAGCTCTGCTTCTTTAGAGGTTTTGTGTCCATAATTATTTCTTATGAGAGGATTAAGTGCTTAACTGTTTCATTAACCTTTTTCTAAAAAGTAAGACTAGTGCCCAGAAAGTTAGTGTCCAGAATAATAAAAATACCATGATCAGGTGTAATAAGGTGCACATATATTTTTCTATTATAAAAATAATGCATGCTCATTTAAGAATATTTGGTAAACATGTAAAAGTAGACTGAAGGGAAAAACTCCCTCCACTTTTCCACTGTGTAGGCACACTGGAATATTGTATACTCATCTTTATATACTTTGTCTAATTTTTTCAAGAAATTAAAACCCACTTTTATGCTAAGAAACTGCTGTCTTAACAAGAGGTGTGAGATAGTCTGTAGGCAGTTTTCTTGAATCCATGGGGCAACCCAGGTGAAAAGGCTGCTTGGAGGATGGCAGCAGAGAAAAAAGAGCAGAATCAGGCTACTCTTAGGATACGGGGGCTAAGTAATAAAACATGCTGCCCTGGCAGGTGACTGGTGTCTGCCATTTCCAGTGGAAACATGAACACTGCCAAGCTTTCTGATTGTGTTTCTCTGCTGAGGGTGGCACTAAAGGTCTCAGTGCCCCTTTACTTGCCATTCACCCACCATGGGTTCATCTCCTTGAGGCCATGACCACATTTGGAAACAACTTCTTTTTCTGCTCACAGAGAAGATACTGTTGCTAATATTTTTGAAGTTTTCACTGCCATCTGCTAATGCCCAGGTGCTACCTGGAGGTCACACAGAGTGCATCCTTCTGCACCTCTGCAGAAATCCATTTGGGTGATTTCACTAGGAATGTCTTGAGGAAATCAAGGCATTGGTGAAAAGTAAAAGCTGTTTTGATCGTGCAGAATTTGGTTTGTTTCTTGTTTGTTCTTTGTAGTGCAGGGGATCAAACTCAGGGCAAGGCCTTGTTGTATGGTTGTGTGTGTGTGTGTGTGTGTGTGTGTGTGTGTACTGAGGGTAGAAGTAGCTGAAGTTTCATCCTCAAAGCTACATAAATCTGGTGGCTAGGCAGGGCTTCATGTGAGGGTGATGTCTGGGACCCCAGGCAGGCAGACAATAATCATTTCAGATGATTAAGTTACACAGAGTATATTTTTACCCTTCCTTTCCTCTTCTGGCCATATCTGTATGGCTTTCAGATAAGATCCAAGACTTTAAATACCATACGTGCTAGATTTCTCCTTCTACTCTGGATTTGCTCCAAATGACATAGTTGAAAAGCTTAAAATTTTCCATCTCCTAGAGGGTGACATAGTTGTGAAGCATAGAAACATGAGCCTTGCACTTCAGATAATTGGAGATGGGAGACACTTGAAAGACCATATAACCCAGCACATCGGTGTCAGCTGCAGGTTGATAAAACACAGATAGATATCCAGCTAGGGGTGTAACTCAGTGGCAGAGCCTGTTTAGCATTGGTGAGGGTCTGGGTTCAATGTGCAGCACACCACCACCATCACCACCAGCATCACCGAAACAGAAAAACAAACCCCAAAACACAGATGGTTGCCTCTCTACCCACAGTTCTGAGTCAAAAGGCTGAAAATGTGCATCTCTGACAAGCCTCCAGGTGCTGCTGCTGTGGTTCTTGGGACCAGACTCCCAGAGGCCCTGGTCTATCTGTATGCACTTGTCTTATGAGAGAACTGACTTTCACAACAACCAAGTCTCATCAAGGCTGCTAAGCAACTGGATTTTGAGGACTGTGTCAATTCTGATGAAGATAAACTGATATCAAACATCTTGCATATTTGTTTGATGACAGTTTACCTGATGGTGGTCTGCTACAAGTTGGTCATTTATTTTTATCTGTTTTTTTCAGTGACTCAAGGTTTCTTAAGCTTCCAAGCTAAACAGGAGTACTGCCTGAAGCCAGAATGCATCGAAGCTGGTAAGTTCATTTTCCACCCTGTGTCAAGTTATAATTATGGTACCTTGGAGAGTGGAAGAGAAAACAGGTGGTATTTTTAGTATTCTGTTTGCTTGAGGTTTACCAAGTATGAAATGCAATTCTGAAGAAATTTTAAGTCTACTTTCAAGTTTTGGTGTGAAGTAATGGAATTTAGTTTTTCTGTTTTATTTTTCCTTGCAAAAAATCATCCGTGAAATACTTCGAGCCTCATGATAAGAAACTCAGGAAGGGGCTTGAAAGATTGTATGGCCTCTCTTAGGACCCATAGGCAGACACTATCGGCCTCCTATGGCTCAGCTTGCTGTCCATCTTACACGGTCTTAGAGTCTGTTCTAGTTAGTTGACCTGACCTGTTTGTCTCTACACAGAGAATCCTTTGTAAGTTTATAGTTCTTCTGCATCTTGGAATCCCTTTGGGTCCTCCTCCTCTTCATCCTCATCCTCAACATTTTCTTTCTATTCCACTTTTTAAGTCCAACTTCTCTTGAGCTGACCAGACCATGTATCAGTGGGTGCACCAAAGTGAAGTTTCACACTTGAAGTTGCCTCAGATTTCTTATAGTTTCCTTCCCTACCCTATAAATCAGTGTCCACACTTGGCTCCTTACCATGTTTCTCTTGGTAGCATGCTACCACACTAAGTCTTTGTTCTTCTCTCGTAACACCGGACTAACTAGAATCTGGTGACTAAACCATCTCAACTCTGGAATAGTGATTTGTTTTCTCCTGGAGTGAGTGATATAAAAATTCTTTTCCTTGCTTTGAGCAGTTGACCTGGAGCCTTTTGCAGTGAAGAAAGGATGTGGTAGAGCTGGTGAGGGACCAGGTGGCACAGAAACCAAGTTCTAAATTTCATGTCACTAGTACCTTTGCTGTGTTCAGATTCTTGCAAATATAAGAAATTGAGAATTCTGAACTCATAAATCTTCCATTATGTGTAGATAACTTGTGAGTCTGTAGCCTGATGTTGATGATGTCATTTTCTGCTAGCTAACATATTTTGCCTTGATGTTTCATTTTTAATCTTCATATTGATGAATAGCTTTCTAATGTTAATATATTGATTGTGCTGTTTCCATTAAAGCTCATCAAGGTCACAGTCCTCTTGAATGTAATATAAGCCTCAGCATTCCAAGAGTGTGTGGAATAGCTGTTGCATACACATGGCAGGAGAGTTGTGGCCAAACCAAAGCCTTACCCAAGAGCTTAGGGTGTGTGTGTGTGTGTGTGTGTTGTAGGTACAGGTGCACTTGTGGGAAGTTCAGGAGAAGGAATTGTTTGATTACCTTCTATCTCATTTCTTCCTTTCCTTTCCTTTCCTTTCCTTTCCTTTCCTTTCCTTTCCTTTCCTTTCCTTTCCTTTCCTTTCCTTTCCTTTCCTTTCTTTTCCTTTTCATTTCTTTCTTTTCCTCCTCAGCTCCCTTTCCTCACATGCTAATCTTGCTTTTTTTTCGGTACTGGGGATTGAACTCAGGACCCTGTCCTTGCCAGGCAAAAGCTTATTCTACTCAGCTACCTCCCCGGCCCTAATATTGCTTTTGAAATGCAAGCTGTAGAAAGAATACAAAGAAATAATGGAAGTGGCACTCAGATGGCTGTGGTTGAGGGTAGATGGAGTGATTTGGATTTGAAGCACCATAGGGCCACTTTTAAGCTACATGATCCTGGACTAAATACATAACCATCCTAAGTTGTAGACTCACTATCTGTAAAATGGGAATAATAGTTTTTAAACAATGTATTAAATGTGTGAATAAAAGAAAATAATGACAGTAGTAACTGAAGTGCACAATACCCAATATGAGAAAATTTGGCAACTTGTAGTTGGCCAGGCCAAGCCTCATTGTAGTTCCTTTGATGGCAAAACCAAATCTTGTGTGAGGCTGTTTTAGACTTTTTTGATCTCAGGATTATATGTATTTTTGTCCCTGTAAAAATACTATTATGCAGCTCTTGGGAGGCTGTAAACAGGCAGATCACTATGATTTTGATCTAGTAGTGAGACCCTGAACACCCTGTAGACCCTTCCCTAAAATAAAGAAAATATGAATATGTTTTCTTCAGAGGACCACTCCAGACATTGGTGAGATAGTACATCATCTGTGGTTGCACATTATTTCTTTTCTAAAATCTGAAAATCTGTAACTCTGAAAATACACCCTCAGGATTTCAGATGTGTTTATAGAATAATAATAGCAAAAAACATACAGCAATTTTTTTATGTTCTCAGACATAGCTAAATATATACATATAGGATATTTACTTAAATTTGAGTTATACAGTAATGACCACCTCTTTTTGGTATAAATATGTCTCATGCAATATTTCATACATACTTATTGTAGAAAGTAGTTTATCTTAAAATCAGATTTCACTGTTCATCTTGTATTTTATCTACAGTTATATAGCAAGGTGTCTGACATTGCTATAAGCATTTTGCAAATATTTACTCATTTAATTTTCATGGTGATGCTACATGGTATTATTATACCCATTTTACAGATGGAAAAAACAATACACAGAGTGGTTAAGCAACCCCCTTAGCATTATTTAGTGAGAGGATTTTGTTACTGTCATTTCAAACCAAGTAGTCTAACTCTAAAGCTTATAATCATGTATGCTATATTGTGTGAAGAGGTCTTTGTTTGCATAAAAGTTCCTGGCACAGACAAGATGCTTAGTGTTAAATATATGTATATATATATATATATATATATATATATATATATATATATATTAAGGCTTAAGTGGTACATGCCTGTAATCCCAGCACTTGGGTGGCTGAGGCAGGAATTTGAGGCCAGCCTGGGTAACAAAGCGAGCTCAAGTCCAGCCTGAACTACATAGTTAAACCCTGTCTCAGACAGAAGAAAAGGCTTAACCCCTGGTAAGGTTTTCCCTAGAGCCCTGATTAAACCTAAAATTTCACATCAGCATGTAGAGGATTCCTCCAGCTGCTGCACATACACTAGCTGAAGACTGGCTAACAGTTGACCTCATGTGTAATGGATTGAGAAAGCCCACAGCCTGAGCTTTCACAGGTCTCCTTTATGATCACATTTCTTTTATTAAAACAAGACTTGCTTGATTTTCTCCATGGAGCTGAGTAAGGGGAAAGGAGTTTTTGTATCTTGACAACTAAGGTCCCTTGCAATTTCAAGTCACAGTTCCACTGCAGAAAGTACAGCCCTTTGCTCAGCTGTGAATCCTGAATGATGAATTGTGAGGCAGGGGAAAGAGTTTTCTCACTCAGCAGGCTCCTTTCAAAATTCACTGTGAGTGATGCAACTCCCACTTTCGCATTAGGGCCGAGGTCAGAGCTGACCTTGCAGTTTTCCTAGGTAGCTGCAAGAAAACCGAGGAGAAGAGAGGCTGCATCTGAAGGGTGGGGGTAGAGGAAGTTTGGGAAGGAAGCCAGAAAGCAGTGAGTTTATGTGAGTAACAATGTACACGAGGGCTCCCCTGTGTGACTGTAAATATTGTGTGGGACTGAGACTTATGTGATCCATGTCTCGGAGGTGTCACATAGCAGATTCGTCCTGTGGCTGCAAAGACTAACTATAAATACAAACTGTAAGGAAGAGCTTTGTATCTCTTGGCAGGTTTGCATATTAAATAGTAATGATAAAATGATAGCAGTTAGCAAAAATGTAATTAGAGACAACTGAATAAGTTCTGAAAGACACAAACATGAAATCAATTGGAAATTTATCAAACTTGTAAACCAAATTTTTTGATAGTTGTTTATTTGGGGGCAGGAAGGTTGCAAATAGCAAGGACTGTGAAGTCATATAGAAATCTGGATATTTGTATATTAGTCACTTCAATCAGAATAAAATGCTCTTGGGAATTTTTGTAGAAAGTCTAGGCTAGCCTTGTTTTTGAGCCTGGAAAAGCCACCCATGTAACAAAATTATAAAATGTATTTCTAAATTTACGCAGATTTTATTTTTGGGGGAAATTTATTCTAATTTAGCTGAAAACCGATTGAGATTTCATTACTTCAAACAGCAATGTATTCTGACATTAATTAAAGTGTCAAAATTTCCCAGACTGTCACCCTTTCAATGTCCTTAAAATATTGGTTACCTTTTTGTAATGAGTTCTTATAGATCTTTGTGCAGGAGAAGTAGTCAGCAATTGTATGCAGTTGGAGTCCAATATTAGGAATTTTGAAACACTCTTATTTTGTAATGAAATGTTTTCCTTTAAAGCTCATGGATACATATCTATGTACAGATTTCCTAACTATAGGCCATCTTCCTTATATATTTGTATATGGGTTTATGAACAAAGGAAAATGGTAGATCAGTGTATTGTACTTTCCACTAATTCATATGAGTACTCACTCAGTCCTGCCCCTACATCTGGGACCTTTGTTTCGAAAGCCCTACTTTAGCCCTCCTCTGGCTATGCCTCTCCCACAGTTAAGGTGTCTGTGGGGCCAAGTCTGCAGCCCTCTCCTGTAGCCCAGAATTCCTGACCAAACAGCCCGAAGTCTCCAATCATGGCCTTTCCTCTGAGAGCTGTACTAGATGCCAAGGGCCTCAAGAAGCCATAACTGGCCTTCAAGGTTGTTATAAAGACACCATGTAAATATATCTTTAAAATATATAGATACATGATGTGCCGGCCTCTTTCTCAGTTACCCTTTGCTGTGAAACAGACACCCCTTGGAAGTGAAACAAGAGCGATGTAATATTTCACCTGGTTCCATGGGTTTTATAGATGGTTCTCTAAGCTTTGTGTGGCTGCCTACCTCTGGACAGTTGCTTGGGCTGGAAGGTCTATGATGGCCTGGGTCACACATCTGGTAGTGTTGCCTTTGTTCTTTTCCATGTGGCCTCTTGTTCTCCAGGAGGCTTCTTCAAAGGCTGGTTTTGGGGTTTCGTTTGAAGAGAGTTAACTTGGAAGACGCAAGACCTCTTGGGCTTAGCTTTGAAACTCAGAAATAATCATCGCAGCTAATTTTGTAGGCCAGTGCAGGTGACAAGGCCAACCCAAATTCAAGGTAAAGGAAATGGGCCTTAGTAGCAAAGTTGCTTTGCAGAAGCACATGTGGGATAAAAGAGTCACATTTATCTTTGAAAAAAAAATCTACCACATTACTTCATTTGTATTCTTGTCCTGTAACCCACAGATGTCAGAAACGATACTGAAAAACCAATAACAATAACACCACCAAACTTTTATTCACTCATGCTGAACACACTCATTTCACGAAGCAAAGTTGATTCAGAAAGTTATTTGAGGGGAAACGTAGAAGCCAAGAGTTGGGAACTGGTTGATATGAAATTGTTGTTTAATTTGGAAAAGAACAGCACACAGTGTTCAGTGCTTGTCATTAATCCTATGATTTTCTTTTTAAATAGCTGCTGCCATATTGAGTAAAGTAAATCTGTCTGTGGATCCTTGTGATAATTTCTTCCGGTTCGCTTGTGATGGCTGGATAAACAGTAATCCAATTCCTGAAGATATGCCAAGTTATGGGGTTTATCCTTGGCTGAGACACAATGTTGACCTCAAGTTGAAGGGTAAGTTTCTACAGGAGGTTGGTGATGCACTTTATAGACACGAGCAATTGACAAGAAAAGTATAGTTTGGGATGTAAAGTATGATTCCTCACTTTTTCACTGTGCTAAGTCCATTTCCAAGAATTTTTTTAAATGGAAGATTGAAAGGTCAGAATTTGATTTTCTAAGATCTCAACCAAAGTAGGTTATGTTTGTATTTGATCATGCAGTAGTTAAGTTTTACTGTCAAACATTAAATAGCATTTGATTGAGATTGGGACCAAAGGAATAGTTAGTGAAAATTATGTTATATCATTAGACTTGTCTCTTGTTTTCAGGGTCAACTTCATTTCTTTCTTATGGTGTCTTGGATTTTCATGGCTTACAAAATGTACTTAACACCTCATCGTCTTTTGACATCACTTTAGAGAACTCTGGATGACCTGTGGTTGTCGTATTGTTCCCATTAGCTGCTGAGCTGGCTCTAGGGAGACTCACTTTTCTCCCATGGCCTTCTCTAGCAGGGACAAGCTCACACTCACATACTCACATGTGCGTGCAGACATACATACTCACATGTTGGACATATCGGTTATTGGAACATATCATGTAAGCATTAGATTTCATTTTCCTGCTAAGCTATTGGAGAAAGCCATCTGAGGAGGAAAGTAGGAAGATTGCAAACCCAGATAAGGTAACTGTTTTGAGAAAGTAAAAATAGCATGGCTTTTGTCCTCTCTTTTTGACAACTTTGAGTTATGTCATGTAACTTGCATTCAGTAACACCTATAAAGATTTTCTGAGAAGTGATAAGGTGAATTTCTTTTGCCTCTTCATTTTTCCAAGATTTCAAATCCATGAAAATTGAATATGTATCCATTTATATATGCAGTACTTAATAACACATGAAGCCATGTGCAAAATAATTAGATACCCATCATCAATTGTAAGGAAAAAGATAATTAAATTTCACAAGTGGGAGTAAATTGCATTGCTTATGTTTTTTATTAGAAGGCTCAAAGTTAGTCTTGATAACTTATAAATGAGAATCTGTGAGAATTTCAAGGTATTCCTTTAACCTAACAGATGAGATTCCCATCTTGTAGAACCATAAATAAGACCTTGAACAGTGCATTTATGGACTAATACTTATTTTCCTCTAGGACATTGATTCATGTTAGTTCTTCATTTACCATTCTTGTTCATCTTCTGTTTTTCTTCTCTGGCTCTTCTTCCTTGATAGAAAAATGTTCATGCACAATCATGCAAATGGGGATACCACATCACTGAAGGATAAGAAAATACAAGATCTCCAGATAAATACTCCCTTTTACATTAGTTATAATCAAAGGATTTTTAAAGTCAGGATGTGCAGTGATTAAAATAATTTAAAGAACTTGCTGGGGATAACTTAATTTAAAATTAAGTGTTGACATGCTTTGTTCAGGAAGATGTCATATATGGGCTCCTTTGAAATTCATGGAAATGAGAGTAAGTTGTTCAGAGCAGTACAGGGATTTTTTTGAGGCTTATTTTCTGGCTTTATTTTAAAAATGAAAAAGTTATTTCCAAGCTCAGTTGGGAAAATAAAAAGTTGAAAAATGTAGGAGGAAAACTCGCTATAAATCCACATTTGGCTGGGGGTGGTAGCACATGCCCGTATTACATAGTGAGACCCTGTCTCAAAAAAAAAAAAAAAGAAAAGAAAAGAAAAAGAAAAAAGAAAAAACTCACATTTGGAAATAACACCTTCTTTCCAGGTTTTATTCCATGTTTGGTTTCATATGCATAACCTCATATACATAGCCATGTGCAAGGCCTGATGAAACATTGAATTTTTAAATTTAAAATTTTATTACAATAAATGACATTGCCTATTTGGGTTTGTATTGAGATGTTCTCCCAAAGCCTCATGTGATCTTGGGTGGGGATTTTGGAAGATGATTGGATTACAGGGGCTTATAGCTGACTTGCTGTTAGGTTGTGGGGTCCGGCCTAGACGAGCTCCTCCTAGCTTCTCTCTCTGCTTCCTCTGTGACACGTCTTGAGCAGTTCTCCCACTGTTCCCCCCTGGCTTGAAGCTAACTGACTGTGGGCAGAAACCTTTACAAACTGTGAGCCAAAGTAAATGTCACAAAACCCCCAAAACAAAATAAACATCTCCTCCTTTAATTTGTGAGTGTCAAATATTGCATCCCAGAAACTAAGAAAGTAGCCAAGACATTGCTATTAACTACTTCAAAATATGCCTTCTCTCTTTAGACACACTCTTCTTGTCACATTCTGAATCAGTTCTGGAAGCCTTCTTCTTTCTTCTTTTTTTCCCATAATTTTATTGATAAACAAATAGCAACGAGACAGTTTCAAATCAAATTGGTAGGACAGTTTCAATAATTAACACATTGCATACATTCTTCCTAGTGGTTAATTGTTGTACAAGATGCAGACATGATATCCTATTTATAAACACCATTAGAACAAATCCCTCTATTCATTAAGAGAATGTAACTATATATCTATCCTAACCACTTTGAATATACAGATACAAAATGGACATTCATCTGTATACTTTTTTTTGTTAAGTTGCGTTATTTGAATATTATAGGTGTGTAAACTCAGCAAAATATTCTAAGAGTCCAGTAGCCCGTAATAGCATTGGGTCTTCTGTTTAACTGGCAATGTCAGAAATTATTGACCTGAGTCCCCCACAGCTCAACATAACAGCATGGCTTTACTTCTTCTTTTTTTTTTTTAATGTTTATTTATTTATTTATTTTGTGTGTGTGTGTGTCCAGTTCAGCCCACCAGAGGGCAGGGCTGGCTGGTATGTGGTGCTGGGGGATTGAACCGCGGTCCCTGTGTTTTGCTTAGCTTAGCTTGTTCTAAGTAGGTGCTTTAGACCACTGAGCCATCTCACCAGCCCCATGGCTTTACTTCTTATACTTCGTTTTTATACTTTTCTGCTGGATGGTTAAGACCAAGGTAAAGCAGGACCTATGCAACAAGAGTTGTAGCTTTTGGGTCTGATAAGGTCAGTGAAATCCCCTCAGGATTTACCCTGAGGATTTCTTCTTTCTTCTTCCTTCTTCTCCTCCTTCTTTTATTTTTGAGATAGGATCTTGCTATGTAGCCCAGGTTGGCCTCGAACTCATGGAGATCCTGGCACCTCAGCTTCCCAAGTGCTGTGACTATGGGCATGCGCCACCACACTTGGCTTAGAAGCCTTCTTTTATGAGTGTCTTTAGTTGTACTCTGGTGGCTGACTCCATGTCCTGAGTGGATTCAAAACATTTACCTTTGGTGGTCACTTGACACTGGGAAAGAGCCGCAAATTGCATGGAGCCAGATCTGGTGTATACGGTGGGTGAGGACACACCATGATGTTTTTAGGAGCCCACTTTTCCATTGGATGCCACGTAGTAGAATCATTCACCAGAGTTTTGAGCACATCTCATAGGGATACTCACTAAAGACCTCTGGAGCTGCTTTAAAAAGTGGCAAGAACCACGGGATACATGTATTTGAAGCAAGGGGGAGTATTTTTAGTGGGATTAATGGCAATATGTCTTTTGCTATAATTTTTTGATTTGAACATTAAGCATATATTTTTATTGTGTCTGATAGCCATTCTTTACTGCTTATTGTGTTTATAATTTGCAAAATGTATATAAGAAAAACGTTTCTTTACCATTTATGAGGGACTCAGATGGAATCTCTCTTAGCTTCTTTAAATTTCTCTTTGAGAACTAAGTTTCTAATTTTGAAATATATCCTATCCAGTAATGGTTTACTTTAAGACCCTGCTAGAAGTAAGTAAGCTAGTATTTTGTTTCATAATTGATATCTGTTTATGATTCTCATTGGCACATGGCTTTTTTTCTTTTCTTTTTTATTTTAGGGAAAGGTCTACAGGGTGTTCAGGGTCTCACTACTAGATCAGACTCATAGTGATCCACCTGTTTACAGCCTCCCAAGAGCTGGAATTATAGGCACATGCTACCACGCCCAGTCTCAATGGCCATTTTAGTGTTCCGTGGAGGTGGGGCCAGCACAGCAGGCTCCTGCACCCACTTGCATGCGCTTTAATCTGCTGAGCTATTTGGCTGGCCCTATCCGTGGCTTTTTGTGTGCTCAGGTGGTCAAATTCTATTGCTAAGACCGTGCTAGCCTTGTGACACAAAGTGGCAGGCTTCCTGTATATTTCTGTGTTCTGAGAAAGGCGCAATTTAAGAAATTTCAAGCTGTTTTGTGACGATCACTGTGAAGGACAAATTCACAAAGTGATTGTAAGACTTTTGCTTCAAGTGGTATGGAGAGCAGGGAGGATACAGGGCCACAAACCTGAAGTTTTAGCACTCTAGAAAGCTGTCGCAGGAGGATTGCAAATTCAAGCTCAGCCTGAGCAACTTAGTGACACACCTCAAAATGCTGAAGTGTAGCTTAGTGCAGTTGCCCTAGATTTAATCCGAAGTACTAGGAGAGGAGGGATGGAAGGTAGGGTTTCTTTCCAGATTGGTATCATCTTATACTAGACATATGTGTTTTAAGTCTAAAATATTTATGTGGGGGGCTGGTGAGATGGCTCAGTGGTCTAAAGTACCTACTTAGAACAAGCTAAGCTAAGCAAAAGCACAGCGACCACGGTTCAATCCCCCAGTACCACATGCCAGCCAGCCCCGCCCCCTGGTGGGCTGAGCTGGCCACACACACACACACACACTAAATAAATTTTAAAAAATATATATAAAAAAAATAAAAAATAAAATATTTATGTGAAATATTAATTTATTCAAACTCTTTATTTTGAGATAACTTAAACACTGCCCAAGTGAACGAATAACACAAAGAACTCCCATAAATTCTTTTTTTACATAGCTTCCCTGATTGGTACCATTTTGCTGGGTTTGCTTTATCATTTCCATTCTCTATCTCTATGTGTGTTGATGTCTCATTCTTTGTATATCTTTACATTTGTTTATAGATAACTGCAATAGAAAATATTGGCAGTATGTACTGATATA